TGTTATTTTATTTTGATTAAAAACCACAACTTGCTTAGCTCAGGCTAAAACCTCATATCTCGTTGACGAGCTGGTTTTCATCACGTGGCATGAAGTCTTGCGTCTGGCTGACAACGTAGAGCACTATGATCAAACTGTTTTGTTATGTGATGAAAACGAAACTTTGACTAGCTGAGCCGGGAGCTAAACTTTATAATTTTTGAATAAAATTGACCTGTATGTAGAAAATATAATATAGGCCTACTTTTTGTTTATTCTAGTAGGCCTAAATAGTAGAACATATAAAGTAAAGTATATTTTAACCAAACATCACATTTTATTTAATTTTAAATGGAATGATGGGATTATGAAGAATTGTGTAGGACTACCCTATGTACTACGTAGTCTACTGTATTACGTCACTAGATAGTGAAATTAATTATAAACAAAAAATACTATCAGCCTGCCTTATCATCTTAATATATTTCCTCCATGCTTATATGAGAAGTTGATTCATTTGTGATCTCTTCCTATTCAAGCTGACGTGAATTATTTTAGCATTCCAACTTTTAATAGAAAAAAAAATTAATAAATGCAAACCTTCCGGGATTCCACTACCAATCGCCGCCCAGGCTTTGCCCAGACGGTACCATGTGTCATGTGCTTTTTTGTTGCGCAGAGTAAAAAGATGACGGGTCTCAAAGTTTATGCAGAGTCAGCGCGATCTTCATTTTCAGATAGATGGTTGTAGAAAGGCGAAACAATTTGTATTTAAATCATCTACGGACATCAAATAGCAATGCTGGTTTGGTAGCACATTCTGCACGTTTTCCCATAGTGGCTGATGAGACATGTTGTTTACCTCTGGGATTTATTTTAGGACGAGGCCTAATGCAATGACAATGTCGGTAGGCGCGCTGTCGGTAGGCACTGGCAGGCTTAGGTAACTGATGAAGCCGCCGGTAATTATTAGGCTTAGGCCTAGAAAGGGCAGATTAAAGCATTCATAAGATTATCGTATATTAAACGCCTAATTAAAGAAACTCTCTTTACATTCATTTTACTAGACAGTACGACGAACGTTCAGATCTTGTGTAGGCATTGATAGGCGACTGATAATGTGTTAAACAGCTGATGCATTACGACGCGTTACAACGCGTAGCGATCGCTTCGTAGCGGTTCGTGCTACGCAAATCTTACGCGTTGCCTACGCAAATCCTACGCGTTATCTATGCGTAGCTACGCGTGCTACGAAGGCAGTAATTTTTATCTGTACTGTACATACCTCTGACACCAACTGGAGTGCGGGATATCCCTCCATGATGTTTAATTAATGGAAACAGGATTTTCAAAGATATTTCTCCGCTGGAAACCATACTGTAGGTTGCTGATTAATGCATAATT